CATCTCACTCCTGTCAGAATGGCAGCTATTAAGAATACAAACATCAGTAAGTGTTGGTGAGGATGTGGGGGAAAAGGCACACTCATACATTGCTGGTGGAACTGCAAATTGGTGCAGCCAATATGGAAAGCAGTGTGGAGATTCCTTGGAAAACTGGGAATAGAACCACCATTTGACCCAGCTATCCCACTCCTTGGTCTATACCCAAAGGACTTAAAAATAGCATAGTACAGGGAGTATGTATCAATGTTTACAGCAACACAATTCACAATAGCTAAACTGTAGAACCAACCTAGATGCCCTTCAGTAGATGAATGGATGAAGAAACTGTGATATATAAACACAATGGAATATTACTCAGCATTAAAAGAGAATAAAATCATGGTAAATGGATGGAGCTGGAGAAGATAATGCTAAGTGAATTTAGTAAATTCCAAAAAACCAAATGCTGAAAGATTTCTCTGATTTAAGGATGCTGATTCATAATATCATAATATGCTGAGGGGGATTAAATGAACTCTAGATAGGCAAAGAGGAATAGGAGAGGGAGGGGAAAGGAGGGGACATGGGGGGGAAAGACATGGAATGAGATGGTAATCATTACCCTGTGTACATGTATGAAGACACCAAGGATGTGACTCTACTTTGTGTACAACCAGAGATACGAAAAATTGTGCTCTATATGTGTAATATGAATAGTAATGCCTTCTGTTGTCATACATAACAAATTAAACATTTTTAAAAAGTTCTCCTCAGTTCAATTCCCAGTACAAAAAAAAAGAACAACAACAACAAGAAGGAGGAGTTGTTTGTTGTCAGGAACATCTGAGCAATTTCAAACAGTGCCGTTGTTCACATTTTCCCTTTTCTGATTTACTTCAAATCTTTGTTTGTTTTGGAGGAGGCTGGGAATTAAAGTTTAATTTCAGCTTGGCTAACCACAGCAAATTGGAGTAGTTAAATTGTTACTTCAGATCTTAATGTTTAGTCTTTTTTAAAACTATATTTATTTTAATATTTTCCAATAATTTCCAAGAGATGCATAATTTATAAATAATATTCAAAATCCCCTATTTTCTTCTATAAGCCAAAACTTAGTATTTCTTTTTTTTATTTTTTTTATTTTTTTTTTTTTGAGAGAATTTTTAACATTTATTTTTTAGTTTATTTTTTAACATTTATTTTTTAGTTCTCGGTGGACACAACATCTTTGTTGGTATGTGGTGCTGAGGATCGAACCCGGGCCGCACGCATGCCAGGCGAGCGCGCTACCGCTGAGCCACATCTCCAGCCCCCAAAACTTAGTATTTCAACTAATCGAATGAATGATCGCTCCTTTATATAATATTAAAGCCAAGTCACAGAGCATTGCTTGAAACCTATGGGCCTCTTGATCATTTTCTCTATCATCTGCTTTCTTTTATTGCCTAAGCAAAATGCCAATTATTGCCAAGATGGAAACACAGACATCCATGAGATCTATAGCAGTAAGTAGAAGGATGTTACTTGGTGTAACATAGTTTGACACCCCAGCTTCACAAGACACTGTGAAGGTATGCAGTGACAATTAGCTGGGAATTTGGAATGATTGTAGTCCACTCTTGTTTTTGTACAGATGTCTCTCTAGAAGGACAGGGAATTCCAACAAAAAGATGGTCAGGAAAGTTTTCACTATGATCTGAGCCAAGTACATTGTATGGTAGTTGGGGAGCTAAATGTGCTGATTGGCCAAGTTGTCCAGCTGAGACATTTTTCAGTTATCCATTGGCATCTACAGCTGTATACACCATATGTGGCTCAAGTTGATTCACTCCAAAAGGTGTTATCTTATGAAGACAGTCATTAGAACACAGACCACTAGGAACACACACTTTTACAAAATACACATCTGCTTCAAAGTTATTTTTTAATGTATAGATGGCAAAATCATTCTTTGTGTAGACTTTCCTTGGGACTACAATATCCAAGATCCCATCTTCCTAAATGTCAAAAAGGTGGCAATCATGGTATGTGGGCTCTCTCTCCTCCAGTGAGGAGGTCTATGGAACAGGGTAGAGGAGAGTGTGGCTACAGATTCATGAATCAAGGCCTCTGGAGACCAAGCCAGAAACAGGTCTGATTTTATTGTGTAGTTACCATGTACTCAGGCAGTAGCTAAGCAGATTATAGGCAGTCACCAATACAATTTTTGGCCAACTGTCCTTGCTGCGACCAATTGAGAAGGGGACATGGAGCAAGCACTGGGACCACAACACGTGGCCTCACACCCAGGGATGTGTCTAAAGAGCAAGCAATTTGCTGCTCATGCACCTAGCACAAGGGGAGTGGTTTGCCACTCAGGCGCCCTTAAGGTATGTCACATATGCAGTACTCCATGCACTTGTCCCCACACCATGGCATCTCTGATTTGATTTAGGTCCATTAGTCCAGTAAGATTTAAACATTGGATATGCCTCCTTACAGCTCACATTATTACCAGGGTCATTCTCTACTGAAAAGTTCTGTTGTTTGCTTCCAGATGTATGTATGTCTTTAGTGTGGCAGGAGTGTCTGGATAGCCATCCATGCTATAGTCTCCAATATGAAGGAAAACTGGAAATGGTATTTCAGTCAGTCATCCTTCATGCACAAATGGCACAAAGGCCCAGAGTGTGTCCTTATTGCTGAAATCCTGTAGGACTGGAACCCACTGCTTTATTCCAGATTTCAGTAAGGAGTTGATGATATTTTGGCAGTTTTATCTTCACAGCCTGGAAGTAAGTGATCCTTTGTCCATCTACATCAAAGTCTGCAAATGCTGACTGTCCATCCACCACTATATTTTGAGGTTATTGTGGACAGAGAACTTTCCACCCCAATTTTCCCATATCTCAAACTAGAAGGTACTACAGAAAGACAATGTTGTCAGGAATCAATCTGCTGCAAAATCTTCAATCAGATCAATAAATGAATGAGAATGTGGAATTCACATATTCTTATTAGTGGTCAAAGCAGAATGCCATAATAAATTTCCTTCTAATAGTATTTTTTTTTTTTTTTTTTTTAGTTCTGGGCGGACACAACATCTTTGTTGGCACATCCCCAGCCCCTAATAGTATCTTTGGCTTGGAGCTATGGCTCAGTGGTAAAGTACTCATCTAACACGTGCAAGGCACTGGGTTCAATCCTCAGCACCACATAAAAATAAATAAAATAAAGGCATCTTGTCCAACTACTGTCCAACTACAACTAAGAAAAAAAGTGTTTTAAAAAAATAGTATCTGTGAAAAAAAAATAGTATCTGTGGCTGGCTGGATCCATTTGTGATACCAAATGTATCATGAATTAGATCACCATTGAAGTCCATAATTAGTGGCTGATCTTGAAAAGTCCTATTGAGTATGGTTATATTGTTTGATTTTGTCCACAGAAGATAACAGCTCGCAATTCATTCTTAGCATGCTTCTGGGGAAAATATGTTAGAAGGACATCCATTTGTGAATCACCATTATAATCCCCAGAGACTACACTTGTTATCAATGCACTGTGATTCTTGAAAGATACCTTTACTTTGGGTTTAAAATAGGGTGCATTCTGATCTGTCATAAAAGATGAGGAAATAATTTTTTCCAGCTGGCATACTTCTTAATGTTTAGTCTTGCCAAAGAACAATTTTTCTTAATTTCAATTTTGATTTATTTTTACTTCTAAAATCAGGCAACTCTTCATTCCATAAAATAGAATAAGTGTTCCAATGAGYACAGCATAAGCAGAAACAACAACAAAATAGCTGATTGGTCATTTCAAAGTTACTTTCCTTGTAAAAACAAGGACACAGAGAGAGAACAATAAGAAAATAACTGATTGGTCAACATTACTTCAAGTTTCCTTTCAGTATAAGAATTAAGGAAGAGGGAACTTCACCGTCATGCCAGTTAAAACTGACCTGTTTGAGAAATTTGGCTGTTATCTCTGTAATCCTGATTTCTGGGAAATTGAGATTAACAGTTTAGTTTCAGTTTGGTAGTGCTGGGGACTGAATCCAGGGACTTGCACATACTAGGCTGAACTACTGAGCTACACTCTCAGCTCTCCATTTAGATTTTTAGTCAGGTCTATTGCAGCCTGGTGCAGGAGCTTAGTCCAGAATAGTGACCTCTTGTACTTTTTTTTTTAACAGCCTATTTATGTATTTAAGCATTTGTTCAGCAGGTCCAATCTGATTTGTACAGGTGTAGCAGGGAATCGAATGACAGACTTATTTAAGTATTAACATTATGCATCTATATATGCATGTAATGACCATCTAAATTTCAAGGAAGTACCTGTGTGTGTATGTGTGCGTGTGTGTGTGTGTGTGTGTGTGTGTGTGTGTGTGTTTCATAATGCAAAATAAATCCCCGTTGAACTCACTTGTAAACGTTCAATTGCAACTCCTAAAGAAAACACTAAAAACTGGTCTGGAGGCTGTATGACCAATATGATTCTATGATATGTATACTCAGAAAAATGAGACATTATATCCTATCTATGTATGACATATCAAAGTATATAAGTGCATTCTACCGTCATGTATAACTAATTAAAACAAATAAAAATTTAAAAAAAAAACTGGTCTGGGGATTAGTCAGTGGTAGAACATATGCTTAATGTTCATAAGACCCGGAGTCCCATTCTGCAGTACCGCCAAACGTCTTTCCTTCTCCTCTTTCTCCTTCTCCCCCTCCCCTTCCCTCTCCCAGTCCCCTCCTCATCCCCCGCCCCACAACCCCGTCTTTACACACAGACACTACAGATCCCAGCATGCTCTGGGGCTGCATGTGACTGACTACAACTAGAACTACATCTCCCGGCGTGCCTTGATCTCACGCGTGATTTGCTTCTGCGAGAACTACATCTCCCGACAGGCCACGGGAAGCGGTGGGAGTAAAAGGAGCGCTCTACACGGTTTCCCAAGACTTCCCAGAGTCGAGTTCCACCTGGAAGAGGATGGAGGTGACCGGTGGTGCTCCGGGACCCGACGAGATCCGGCTTCTAAAGCCATGTGTGCTGCGCCGCAATCAGAGCCGCGAACAGCATGGCGTGGCGGCCTCCTGCCTCGAGGAGCTGAGGAGCAAGGGTTGGCCCGGGACCCGGACTGGGACTGGGGCGGGGGCGGGGAGAGCGCCACGGGTGAGGAGGTCGGGTGGAGGCAAGGACGGTCGGGCATAGTGTCGAGTATTCTCGCGGCTCTGGGAAGCCCTGGGACAGAAATGCCCCAAGGTATAGCGATTGACAAGTTTCAGGCATTTATCTCATGTGAGACGTAATGGGTGGGGGGGGGGGCTCCGAATGGACTGGAAGCAATATGTAAGGGAAGACCGACTCCACTTAGGTGTCGCCTAAAACAGATTTTGGACCTCAAGGAGTGTAGTGCATTCTTGCCAATCTGGCTCACTAAGGTGGTGCTGGGACCCCCAGCTGAGCCCACCGTGGAGTGGAGGGGGGTTTCCATCGTCAGCTGCTACTGGTACCTGTGCCACAAAGAGGAAGCTGCAAATGACAACTCCTGTAGGGTCCAGGCAATGATCATGGGCTGATGGAAGTTCTGAGTCCAGCCCCAGACTGCTTGAACTTGCACTTAATCATATCTGGACCCTTAGTTTTCTCATCAGCGAAGTGGGTGTATTTCCAGCTCTGATTCAAAAGATTCTGGGATTCTCAAATGACACAATACATTCAAATGAATTACAAGTGTTAGTAGCCCCTAGCAACAAATTATGTATCCAAAGTTCTGCAGGTTTAGCGTGTGAGCCAATCCCAGACATRCAGTCAGCCTGCCTGAAGGTGTACACTGCTTCCTCTGAGTCACAAAGCTCCAGCGAATGTCTTATAGAAGATGTGAGACTCAGGAATACCCCAAGCACTATAAGTGCTTTGGTGACATGGATTTTTTTTCTACATAAGCATTTACATATTTCTTCCTGGCATTAAGTTTCAACTTATGTGGACTGGATGGATAGCCTTGGCTGAGACTTCTGTTCTCTGGACCTGTACAGGTTTGCTGTTCTATCTTGGTTAATAGATAGCATTGCCAAAGGACATTTATAGTCTCAGCTTTTTCTGTTTAGTCCAGTCTTGGTATTTGACGAATTGCCATCACTTAGCAGGATGGGGCAGACTGGCCCTGGAGAAAGGATCTTGCTCAGTGATGATAAAAATGAAAAGCTCCTGATACAAGCTTCTGCCTTTTATATTTTTCTTTAAGCTAGAATACCTATAAAGGAAGATACTACAAAGAATAAAAAGTATTCTTTTTTTTTTTTTTGGAGACATTTGACACATAGGAGAATTTTATTTTTTATTTTTTGCAATCCTAGGGATCAAACCCATACACAGGAAAATTTTAGATGACCGCTGAATGAATAAATGAAAGAACACATATGCATAAGGAATCAAACCAGACTTGTGTTGGTTGGTTGTTCATTCAAAGACAGACTCAATGTCTCCTGGATGGGGAAACACATTTTCAAAAGCCATACAGGGCTTAAATCCCAGTTCTGCCACTTATTCTGTGATCTATCTTGGACAAGTTACTTAACCTCTCCAAACTTTGGGTGACATGGATTATCTGTAAAATGGAAATAACAACAGTACCTGATTACTACTGATTATGAAAAGCACTTAAAATAATATCAAGCACATGGTAAGGGTTACTTTAGTGTTAATATTTATAATTGTTATTGTAGTTACTATTGTCTACAGGGATTCTGCTCAGCTTGGGGGGGCCATCCATATTGAGAGTACTGGATATAATTTCCTTATGGATATTTTTCAGTTGCCAAATATTTTATTCTTCTTAGCCTGTGACATTCTGGCCATTGACAAGTCCCTGACACCAGTCACTCTGGTCCTAGCAGAGGATGGTACCATAGTGGATGATGATGATTACTTCCTCTGTCTGCCTTCCAACACCAAGTTTGTGGCATTGGCCAGTAATGAGAAGTGGACATACAGCAATTCAGGTGAGGAACACTGGCTGTATATGACATCATTGTCATCATAATTGATTTCACTGCACAGGCATCTGATTGCCATTTTTTTTAATATTTTTTTTAACTTTTTTTTAAGAGGGAGGGAGAGAGAGAAAGAGAGAGAGAATTTTAATATTTWTTTTTTTTTTAGTTTTCGGTGGACACAACATCTTTGTTTGTATGTGGTGCTGAGGATCGAACCTGGGCCGCATGCATGCCAGACGAGCGCGCTACTGCTTGAGCCACATCCCCAGCCCAACCATTTTGTTGTTTAAGCATTTATCCAGCAGATGTTTACCTGAGCAGGTGCCAAGTCCTGGGGTTATTTTTTTATTTTTTTAAAGATAGAGTGAGAGAGGGAGGGAGAGAGAGAGAGAAAGAATTTTTCAATATTTATTTTTTAATTATTGGTGGACACAACATCTTTGTTTTGTATGTGGTGCTGAGGATTGAACCTGGGCCGCACTCATGCCATGCGATCACGCTACCGCTTGAGCCACATCCCCAACCCCGAGTCCTGGGGTTAAAGAGGAGTGTGGTGTAGTTCCCAACTCATTCACAGTACACCAGACTGGATCAGGCTGCTTGGGTCTGATCCATTTACTAGCGAGGCTAGTAAAAAGGTTCTGCCATTTACTAGCGAGGTGATACTTACTGTCATGATAATTTCAGTGCCTGTCTCCTAGGATCAACATATGGATAATATAGTACCAACCAAGGCTTCTCAGTAATATCATTGACATTTTAAGCCAGAGAATCCTCCGTTGTGGAGAGGCTGTTGTGTGCATAGTAGAATGTTTAGCAACTTCCTTGCCTCTTATCACTCAATGACCCCTGCCCCAGCTTTGACAACCAGACATTGTCAAATGCATTTAGATCCTACCTGACACATGGTAAGGGCTCAGTAAATGTTACCTATCACTGTCATCATCATCACTTGAGATGCAAAGGCAACTAACAGAGAATCCCAGGAACTTGAGAGGTTGAGGCAGGAGGATCACAAGTTAAGGGACAGCCTCAGCAACTTTGTGAGACCCTGTCTCCAAATAAAACAAAATAAAAAAGGACTGGGGACATAGCTCAGTTGTGAAGTACCCCTGGTTTCAATCCCTGGTCCCCAAAACATAAATAAAAGGTAAATACTATTAGCAGTCAAGGATCAAAGAATTAAAGAAATATATTCAGAAAAGTCATTGCTACTAAATTGGGGAAATCAGCCTTTAGCAATGGCTCTCCAGCCACTATTGTACTTGTGCCCAAGGGGCAGCAAGCAATGGCTTGCTCTTTAAGGATGGAACCACTCCACATATGGGAGAAGCACTGGTGAGAATGAGTGTTTTCCTATATAAAAGCAAAAAAAGGGAAGTGTGGTAGGATCCTGGGACTATACATGACTACGTGTTGGGGTTAGGTGTCTCTTCCATAGAGGAATACAGAGCAGTTTCACACAAAAATAAATTGAAGAAAAAAATTTAAGATCCTAGATAGAGATTTTTTACTTTCCTGAGAATCCTTAAGAGCAGGTTCTTTCTTCCTCATTGAAACTGTCCTTAGTGGTCAGTGGGAGGGACACACACATCCTCCAGAGGTCTGTGCTAACYGAGGAGGTGAAAACGGTACTTGAAGTGACTCTGACAGCATTTTCTCCTAAATATCAGATGGAGGTACAGCTTGGATTTCCCAAGAGTCCGTTGATATCGATGAAACAGACAGTGGGGCAGGACTGAGGTGGAAGAATGTGGCCAAGCAACTGAAACAAGATCTGTCCAGCATCATCCTGCTGTCAGAGGAAGACCTTCAAGTAAGCCCTTGATTAAACCCAGCGCTCACCCAGCCTCTGTAGTCCCCAGCCCCTTCTTAGCTTCTAGGCCTCTTCCCATAATAATTTCATTATTTCTTAATTTAACTATTATTTTTTCATTTTTTATTTTTTTGAAGTCCTGGAATTGAACCTAGGACTTTGTGCATGCTAGGCAAGCACTGTACCCCAATCATTTTCCTAATTTTTAAATAATTTTTACATTATACCTAAGAGTCTTCATTTTTTTTAAGAGAGAAGAGAGAGAATTTTTTAATATTTATTTTTCAGTTTTCGGTGGACACAACATCTTTATTTTATTTTATGTGGTGCTGAGGATGGAACCCAGCGCCCCTTGCATGCCAGGTGAGCACGTTACCATTTGAGCCACATCCCCAGCCCAAAGAGTCTTCATTTTATGATGATCACCTATAGTAGGTTTTTTTGAGGTGAGGGTGTTTTTCAACAGTACTGGGGATTAAATCTAGCACCTCACACAAGCTAGGCAAGCACTCTACCACTGAACTACATCCCCAGACCTTTTTTTAAAATTTTCATTTTGAGACACCATTGCCCAGGCTAACCTCAAACTTGCAATCCTCCTGCTTCAGCCTGCCAAATAGCTGGAATTACCGGCCTGCGCCACTATGCCAGCTGAGTAGCCCTTATTCAGCCCTCACCATGCATCAAAGTCACCTGTGGATTTTTTTTTTTTTTAAATACAGATGCCCCGGCTCCACCCTACACCTGTCTAGGTGGACATTGGAGGTTAGGGATGTGCTGCTAAGGAATTTAGAGTTGGAGTAGCTGGACTCAAATTCCAGCTGTCTTTTTGACTATGTGGCAGTAGCCTGATTTCTTGCATTCCTCTCCAGTGAAGTTAGGTTTCAGGAAAAAAGTATGTTTTCATTTAAAAACTATTGATTGAATCTCTCTCCTRGGCTTCACCTGGCTCTGAGCACTGGGAGTATGGTACTGAATTGGTATGGAAGTGACTTTTTGGTCATTTTTAAATTTACATATTTATTTGGGAATAAAGGATATGAATATATTCACATGTTTCAAAATCCAAGAGGTATAGAAACATAGTTCTACAGATAGCCAAAAAGTGAAAATTACTCAAATGTCCATCAATTGATGAATGAATAAACAAAATATAGGAAGTCTATACTGCAGAATCTTATTTGGCCATAAAAAATGGAATATTAGTGCACGTTAAAATAGGATGATCCTTGGGACTAGGGATATGGTTTACATGGTAGAGTGCTTGCCTCACATGCACAAGGCCCTGGGTTCAATCCCCAGCACCACCAAAAAATAAATAAAATAGGATGAGCCTTGAAAACATTACACAGAGTGAAAGAAGCCAGTCACAAAGTGCACATAATTCATGATTACATTTATATGAAATGGCCAGAATATGCAGATCCATAGAGAAGGAGAGTAGTTTAGTGTTGGGCTGGGGCACTAAGGAAGAATATGAAGTAATTGCTAATGGGTTTCTTTTCAGGGTGGTAAAAAAATGCATATGTGTATGTATGTTTTTATTTAGTGCTGGGGATTGAACCCATGGTCTCACACATGCTAAGCACATGCTCTACCACTGAGCTATACTCCAAGCCTGTGGTGAAAACATTCTAAAATTGATTGTACTGGTGGTTACATAACACTATGGGCATACTAAACCTATTGTATTTTATACTAAAACCCACTGAATTAATGAATCAAATGGTATATGAATTATATTTCAGTATGTTGAACAAAAAGGACTCACAAACCAGGTATAGTACTGCATGTCTATAATCCTAGCAACTTGAGAGGCTGAGGCAGGGGGATCTCAAGTTCAAGGTCTCAGCAATTTAGCAAGACCCTGTCTCAAAATAAAACACAAAAAGGACTGGAGATGTAATTCAGTGGTAAAGTGCCCCCTGGGTTCTATTCCTAGTACAAAAAGAAAGGAAAAAAACCTTCCAAACTTGGACATTTGGATTGACATCTGTCTTGCTATTCCAGATAGTACTGCAAGAGTGCATACCAAGGTCATTTTGCACAGTCACTTATCCGTAAAATAAACTTACAGGTGTAACTGCTAAATTAAAGGGTGCATGCATTTGATAAATATTGGCAGGTTCCCAAGAGGTGACAATTAAACTAAAAGCTACAGGACAAGATGGATCCTGCATAGGAAGTTTGGAGTCAATGTTCCAAGCAGAGGGAAGTCAGGAGCCTTCCTTATTTATTTATTTTTTTTTTTTAAGAAACAGAACAGGCACACTTGTAATCCTAACTACTCTGGAGAATGAGATTGGAAGATCCAAGTTCAAAACTAGCCTCAGCAATGAAAAATGGGCTGACACTTGCTTAGCACATGTGAAGCCCTGGGTTTGATCCCCAGTACTGCAATAAAAAGGAAAGAAAAGAGCCAGACGTGGTGGCACACACCTGTAATCCCAGCAACTAGGGAGGCTGAGGCAGGAGGATTGCAAGTTCAAAGCCAACCTCAGCAACTTAGCAAGGCCTTAAGCAATTTAGCAAGATCCTGTCTCAAAATAAAAAAATCAAATAAAGGGCTGGGGATGTGGCTCAGTAGTTAAGCACCCCTGGGTTCAATCCCTGGTACCAAAAAAGAAAAGAAAAAAAAAAAGAAAGTGATCATGACCTTCCTTCCCACCTCAACAGACTAGCATGTTGCAATGGATCCTTTGAATGGGGAGCACCATAGGCCTTACTTGAATAGAAACATCAGCTTGTGAGTTGCTGGTCAGAGCCTGAACCCTGAGGGAAACTTAGGACACTCAAAGAGAGCTTATGAGGCTAGACACCCACAGATAAAGGAACAACTTGAGGCCAAGGGCACTGAGGGCCTTGAGGACAGGTGAAAGGGAAGGAAAGAGCATAGAAATCATTTACACATGGTGAGAGTCTTAGAATAAGACTGATTCTTGGGAAGTCACTTGCCCTCTCTTGCCTCATTTTCCACATCTGTAAAATGGGATTATGCTAGTACCTCTCTTGTAAGGTTTATACCTCTTGAATTCTGAATCTTCTGAATATATTAATATTACCTGTTCAATAATTGATGCAACATAAAATTTAAAACTAAAGTCTTTTCCTCAGAGAGGCCCTTCCCAATCTAGTACTCAAGAAATGAAGGCTTTTGATCAGAGTGTTTTTATTGAGCTCCATCCACATGAGGGCTGACACACAGCTGACTTTAGAGCCACTGCCCAAATGTTAGCAGTTTGGTCTTTTTCTTTCTTTCTTTTTTTTCTTTTTTTTTTTTTTTTTTTTTTGTGTGTGTGTGTGTGTATGTGGTGCTGAGGCTTAAACCCAGGGCCTTGTGCATGCAAGGCAACACATCTACCAACTGAGCTATAACCCCAGCTCTGGTCTTTTTCTTGTAAAGATTACTTTTAATCTAGTGCTGTATATACAAAAAAAAAAAAAGAAAATGAACCACCTTCTTTTTACATGTCTTCATACGTGATGTCCATCACATCACATTCCATCATCCTTGCTAACCCCCTGCCTCCTCCCTTCCCTGCCTCACCCCTCTGCCCTACCTAGAGTTTACCTATTCCTCCCATGCTCCCCCCTCCCTACCCTACTATGAATCAGTCTCCTTATATCAGAGAAAACATTCAACATTTATTTGGGGGGGATTGGCTTACTTCATTTAGCATTATCTTCTCCAACTCCATCCATTTACCTGCAAATGCCATGATTTTATTCTCTTTTAATGCTGAGTAATATTCCATTGTATATATATGTCACATTTTTTTTTATCTATTCATTTACTGAGGAGCATCTAGGTTGATTCCACAGTTTAGCTATTGTGAATTGTACTGCTGTAAACATTGATGTGGCTGTCTCCCTGTAGTATGCTATTTTTAAGTCCTTTGGGTATAGACCAAGGAGTGGAATAGCTGGGTCAAATGGTGGTTCTATTCCCAGTTTTCCAAGGAATCTCCACACTGCTTTCCATATTGGCTGCACCAATTTGCAGTTCCACCAGCAATGTATGAGTGTGCCTTTTCCCCCACATCCTCACCAACACTTACTGATGTTTGTATTCTTAATAGCTGCCATTCTGACAGGAGTGAGATTTCATCAGAAGTTTCATTAGAGTAGTTTTGATTTTCATTTCTCTAATTGCTCGAGATGATGAACATTTTTTCATATAATTGGTGATTGATTGTATATCTTCTGAGAAATATCTGTTTAGGTTCTCAGGTACTTATCGAGACCCCATCTCAAAATAAAAAGGGTGGGGATGTGGCTTAGTGGTTGAGCATCCCCAGTAACTCCTCCCTCTGAAAAAAAAAAAAAGAAAGAAAAAAAAACTTAAAGCTTTAAAAAAGTAAACAAGAATTTAAGTATTTAAGGTTAAAGAGAGGAACTTTTGCTTACAACAGCATATTTTTTTTATAGTTGTCGATGGACTTTATTTTATTTTATTTATTTATATGCAGTACTGAGAATCGAACCCAGAGCCTCACATATGCTAGCAAGTGCTTTGTCACTGAGCTACAACTCCAGCCCATGGTTTTGTTTTTAATGAGGCACCAAAGTCTCGCCTTCCCAGTTTTCACACTGGGAGAGTACTGGAAACATCACAGGCCCCCTCTTGACCCTCAGCCAGCCATGATAGGAACTCTGGGGAAAATGAAATGGGTTCTGTGAAAGATATATTTTGAGAGAGAACACCAGGTTTAGAAAGTAGTTTGCTAGGGCTGGGGATATAGCTCAATTGGTAGAATAGCTCAATAGGTAGAATGCTTACTTTGCATGCACAAGGCAATCCTTGGCACCACAAAAAAAAAAAAAAAAAAAAAAATTAAGAAAGTAGTTTGCGATCTGTTTGCGATGTGTTTGTTCATTAGGTGCTTATCAACGTTCCGTGTTCAGACCTGGCTCAGGAACTCTGCCAAAGCTGTGCTACTGTCCAGGGGCTCCAGAACACACTCCAGCAGGTGCTTGACCAGAGAGAGGAAGCCCGTCAGTCCAAGCAGCTCCTGGAGCTTTATCTGCAGGCCTTGGAAAAGGAGGGTGGCATCTTGTCAAAGCAGGAAGGTAGGACTCTGCTGGGGCTACCCTGAGCACTCAGGAGCCTTCCCTCAAGAAAGGACCCACGCACAGGCAGCCAGGAACACTTCAAGTGACATTTATCTTTTGCCCAACCAGTTGCTCTACCTGGTGGGCTGTCTGTGTGATTGCAATTGTGCTCATCTCTCTCACATCTGCTTTGCAGAGTCCAAAGCTGCCCTCGGTGAAGACGTGGATACAGTTGACACAGCCATCAGCAGAGAGATCACCTCTGAAATTGCACTTAGGGGCCAGATCCTCACAGTGCTGAAAGAGAAGCCTGTACCTGAGCTGAGCTTGTCTAATCAGGATTTGGAGGTGGGCAAGACCCAGGGACACTAAGCTCAGGAAATGACCTGCCCTGGAGAAGTAGTATGACCGACCGTGGAGGGGCACATTTGGGGTTTCTTTTCACCTCTGCAGACCTCAAAACATAACTGYCAGTTTGCCTATCATATGTCAAAGCATTTACAAACACCTAATTTAAGTCAAATGAGAATGGCTTTAAAGAGAAAACATGTGCACGTCCTCAGATCATCAAAGGCCATTCTCTGGTCTTGGATTGGTAATGAAATGACTAAAGCTGACAGGGAGAGAAAACAGGGCTTGGGCTTCTGAGATGGCTACCAGTTCAGTCCTGAGGTCTGTAAAATGGCACATGAGAAGGCAGAGTTGTCAGCCATCTAAAGCCAGGCAACAAGGAGCTGGACAAAGGAAGCCCATCTGGGTGGGTGCTCCTTCTCATCCTCTGTCCTTGTCCCTGTCCCAAGTGCCCTTCTATTGTAGACAGAAGGGAAGGAAGTTGTTGTTGACAGGAGCTTGGCTCAATTTCCTGGTGGTATTGAATGGTAAGAGAAAGCACTTGAAGATTTACTGTGAAAGAAAACTGGCCTTTCGGCCTAAACATGAGCTGATGTTGCCTAATCTACTCCCCTAAAGAAAATCACAAAAGCACAGACAAGAGCACAGGAGTGGTTCTCAGTGGTTCTTATTCTTGCTGCAGTTGGTGACCAGGGAAGATACCAGAGTGTTGGCTGCTGCCTTGAACTGGGACATAAAGAAGGCAGAAACGGTTCAACGGGCCTGTGATCAGGAGCTCACCCTGCGCCTGCAGCAGGTACAGAGCTGGTGCTCACTCAGGAGTCTTTCAGCAAGGAGGAATTCCCTGCCTGAAGACCCACAGAATCCTAAAAGAGCCAAGCATGACCCCACATAGCTACAGCCAGAAACATGGAGGAAGCCTGYGGCCTTGGCTTGTCATCAGTGAAATTCTTCAGCCTGATCTTTTTATTGCCTGTATCTTGCTCTGCCCTCTGCCTTCGATCATGCTCTCCTGGCCGGGCTAAGACACCAGCTTACGCCCACTTCAGAAAAGTAAGCCAGGTCTCTACATTTGCCCTTCTGCCTATTTTGAATGATCCTGCCTCCAGAGTACATGCGCTCATGATCTTGCTTGTCAGGGCCGGGGGCGTTGCTCAGTGCTTGAGCACATGCTTAGCGTATGCAAGGCCCTGGGTTCCATCCCCAGCACCCAAAAATGTAAGTAAATAAAGTGCTCGTTAAGGGCAGTCAAAAGAAATTGTCATGTCTGGGACTCACTATCCTTGTTCTACAGATTGAACTGCAGAATTTTAGACACAAATAACAGTGGAGAAGGTGACTAACAGAGCATTCATTGTGGCCACAAACTTATTTCTCAAATTAACAAATTTTTTGTTAAAAGGCACATATTAAGTATGCAGACCATAGGGACATAGAGAATCTAATTCACCATTTCTAATATCTAACTCAGTATTGTAAAATTATATATGTTACCATTGTGAAACTCTTTTCAGTTTTCTAATATGTTTTATCAGCAGGGGATATAAAAGGCCATTAAAGTGATTTCCATGCAATATGGCTCCGAGTCTCTCTGGGAGCAGAGCAGAACATTCTAGTTTATATTCCTCCTATTTCTGTACAGATTTGTCCGGCAGGTTTGTAATCTGTACAGTCTCCTAGTTGGGAAAGGAGGATGAGTTTCATGGACATATTTGACTTTTTTTTTTTTTTTTAATAAATTTATTTTTTTTTTGTAGTTGTAGATACACAGAATGCCTCTTTTAAATTTTTTTTAAATATTTATTTTTTAGTTTTTTTAGGTGGGCACAATATTTTATGTGGTACTAAGGATAGAACCTAGTATCTCATGTGTGCTAGGAAAGCACTCTGTCACTATGCTATAGCTCCAGCCCATATTTGACTTTTTAATTCATGCTTACAGGAAAACACAATGCCATTGAGAGATGTACTACACATGTTTTTGCTTATGTCTTTGTTCTTGGTCCTGGGATTGAACGCAGCACCCCACACCTGCTAATGCTAAGCACATCTCTACCCCCATCCCCATGTTGGCTGGTTATTAAGCAAAGAAATGTGACATTAAGTCATGGGGTGAAGGTGAGGTAAAATAGAATTGTCTCATGGGCTGGGTTGTGGCTTAGTGGCAGAGCATTTGCCTAGCATGTGTGAGGCACTAGCTTCGATTCTCAGCACCTCATATATCAATAAATGAATAAAATAAAGGTCCATCAGTGACTAAAAAAATAATATATCCTTCTCCTAGAATGTTGAGGGGATTGCTTAGACCTCTTTAGCCCTTTATTTATTTTTTATGCTAGGGATTGAGCCCAGGGGTGCTTTACCACAGAGCCATAGCCCCAGCCCTTTTTTAAACTTTGAGATACTATCTCACTAAGGTTGACTTGAACTTGTGATCCTCTTGCTTGAATCTTCTGAGGTGCTGGGGTCATAGGCTTGCCCCACAATGCCTGGCTCTCTTTGGCATCTCCTACCTCATGCTGTACCTTAGCAGTTCTCACTCAAACCCAATATTTCCCTTTTCATAAATTATTTTGTAATATCTTCTTGATTTTTTTTTTTTAAATAAAAGCCATAGCTGAAAACCGATAGCATTAAGCGGGGTACTAGGGATTGAACTCAGGAGTACTTGACCACTGAGCCACATCCGCAATCCTATTTTATATTTTATTTAGAGATAGGGTCTCACTGAGTTGCTTGGCACCTCACTTTTGCTGAGGCTGGCTTTGAACTCAGGATCCCCCTGCTTGAGCCTCCCAAGCCACTGGGATTACAGGTGTGCACTACCGCGCCAGGCTAAAGCATTAATCTTAACACAAGAATAATATTTCATAAGATGCAAGAAGAAAATAACTTAATAAAATTTCATGTGTTTCACTGTCTGAATGTGACTAAAAGCACTCCAGGTCATTAGATACCTTTACTTCCACATCGAATTACTGTGATTTTTTTTTTTTTTTTTTTTTAAAGAGAGAGTGAGAGAGGAGAGAGAGAGAGAGAGAGAATTTTTTTAATATTTATTTTTTAGTTCTCGGCGGACACAACATC